TGGTCACTCTACTTAAATATGAAGTATTAATTTGTTAGCCATGATTAACCATAGCATGCACTACATATCATATTAGCAAGGGTTTGGGATGATGATCCTGATAAACACAAATGTTTATAAAACCCCACTGGTCGCCACTAATGCCCATGGTAGACCTGGGAAAACTCTTGTTATGATGGACAAGAGATGGTAATAGAGATTAATGAACTACTAGGTTGTTTTCAAAAAGAATTAGATTTAAGTGGTGCATGTTATTCATGTTAGTGTCGTATGAGGGGGGGGGGTTGTTCAGATGCTTATAGCTCGGGCACCTTGATGTATGACGAGTGGTGGCTCCATAAGTGTCCGAATCTTGTGAGTCCAGTGCACAACCTCTGCAAAGTATTATTTGAATAGTCGTGTCCATTGTCAAGGTCAGTTGGATGACCATGCTTAGACTATGCCCATAAAACTCGACTTATATACCTTAGTTTGGGTTCAGGTAAGTTGGAGAGCAAGATTTGGAAATGATTTAGCTGGGATATGTTCATAACTCTATTTATGCTGATGTTTGTAACCAAAAGACATCATAGGATAAGATGCATACAGTTTCCTAAGATATAGGTCATACATATGCTAGTAATTAGTTCTTGATCCTTTAATAAACCGGAGTGCGGAAACTTCCACTTGTTAAGTCATGCATGTTTATTACACAACTGCATCATAAGTTGCTTGCGAGTACATCCTAAGATATAGGATGTTTCCCAATCAGAATGCCAATAGGGTCAAGGCTTCTGACATGGTCTCAAGTTATCTTTCGAGTTTCCGCTCCAGTGTTTATTTGGTGTATCCACCCAAGTGGCTTTTACATGAGACTTGACCATAATGGTCCTATCTCTGTAAGACTTTAACGTGTTGTAATGAAAGTGTACTTGTGATATCAGTTTGTTGTACACAGGGATGCAACGATCATGGGATCGTTGTTGCATGTACAATCGGTGGTCTCAATCCTACTGGGTTGGGGTCCTACATCTTGTTTCCGCATGCTCCCATGGCTGGTGACGGCTGGAGCCTACGGGATTGAGTCCCGCCGCGCGTAGGAGGAGCTTGACGAGCGGCAGGGATGGCTAGCGGTGGAGGGCACTATTGAGCAGCAGCATGGGCAGGCACTAGCTGTCAAAATCGCCGGTTGCCGAGCCACCAGAGAGGGGATCGAGAGGAAACGAAGTTTCCAAGCGACAGTTGGGCTTCACACCACTGCAAAATTGTTTTGTTCCAGCCGCCCCAAGTGTTGCAAATTCACAACACTTGGTGTTGTATTTTGCAGGTGTTGAAAATTTAGAGTTTGTTTTGCATATAGGACACCTATTGGAGCACTGTTTTTGCCCCCTCGATGAGGTAAAAAGTGGTCCTGCCCTATTTTAGGGCACCTATTGGAGATGCTCTAATAGAGATGGATTTTCAGTAATGTTTGGACATAATTAATGTACTGTGGACCCACACTGGGGGCACCCTATCAGCGTAGACCATGTAAGGAAGGGTCTGGCTTGACCCCTGCAGCACAAGGAAACCACGATACAAAGAAGTCCAGGTTGGAATCAGTTTAGAAGTTAACAGAAGATTATGTCGAGTTTGTGTCTTGCCAAGACTCCTTGTTTGGGTTTATAAGCCCCCAGAGGAGTAATGTAAGAGCATGCAATAATAGAACTTATCTTCTCTATATGTTATCACGACCTAATCTAATTCTCTGATTCCCCAACCAATGCTGCAAACCAGTGCCTTCCTGTCTCTATCGACTTCGGCCTCTGGTGTGTTAAGCTTCATGCACTGGTCAACACAACCAGAAGTCTAAACTGATAGGAAGGCTAGGCAATCCAGATGTACACTTCAACACCCCCTCTTACGTGTGACACGGGAAATCAACACATGAATAGCCTCCAAGGTATGGCTCAAGAGGCCTATAGATGGACAGAGGGGGCAACACCATTTTTCCGACAAATTGCGAAAGCCAAGACTTGAACTCAAGACATAAGGCCCTAATACCATGTTAAGTTTCATGCACTAGCCAACGCAATCAAAAAGTCCAAACTGATGGAAAGGGCTAGGCAATCCACATATACACTTCAACATGGTGAAC